CCTTCCCCTTCCCTCCCTTTTCTCCTCTTCCTTCTCTCCCTCCCTTTCTTTCCCCTTCCTGTCTTTCTTTTTTGAGTTTCTCTGTCTTTCAATTTACCTATCTGCTCCCAGAGTCAATTTCAAGATTTTTCAGCCAATATAATTCAAACACTGGAGGCCCATTTCTTAGAAAAGATTCATGTGGAAAAATTCTAAGGCTCATGAAGATTTAACCTTATCATGAATCTATTTTGACAGACCTTGGAAAAGTCGAGGAGGCAGAAAATACAAGAATGGTTTCCCCTGCTTGTCAATGCCTGTTTTATCTGCCATCCTGGAGAATCATTCCTTTAGGTACGTGCAGCCTGGTCTAACCATCCTCAGGAGGAAGGGCTGTTCTTTATTATTTTGGAACATGGCTTTGACTTTGTTTCTTTCGTGGAAAGAGAAACAGGGATGGGGGTGTGAGGAGATACCTAACACACTGTCACTTATAGTGAGGCCCTACTGTCCTCAGTGTGGCAAGACAGGGGTCATCTTAGCCTGACCAGTTCAGGTCTGGAAGATTCTTAATGTTTTCCTTAAAGGGCAGTTGAGTCATTCTTAGTTATTCAGCTGAGCGAGAAGGAAGATTTAAGCAAATGTTTTCCGAAAAGATCTCTAGAAAAAGTGGACTTGCAACAGTTATCTCAAAAATAAATTTTTATTGAAGATAAATGTACAGTTCATTTAGAGAAAAATAATTATCCACAGGTGAGCAGGGACTGGACGTGTTCCAATGCGTGCCTTGACATCAGTGACGATCCTAAGGCAATGGTCAGGTTGTGCGCATGGGCCTCCCGAGGTGTCACACGTCCTTCGATCATATTTTTAGTATCAAGTGTGATGTTTAAAAAAGGCAAGACAGTTTTGTGAAAGCCAGTCATTTTGTTCAAAAACATTCTCTTCTCCCCAAGGGTACATGTAAATTGAGAAACAGCCGGGTGTTAGGGCAGATTCTAGAACACTTGGGAGCATTTGGGAAGTCACAGCACCAGCATTCTGTGAACAAGTCCCATTCCCTCTCCATCTTCTCTGGTGTGCTCTCCACTTGGCTGCCTCAGAATCTGAGAATTCCTGGGTGGTAGCTTGTTTGTCCTAGTATGCTCTGCTAGGCAAGGACATGATGTCTCCAAGTTCCTGTAGGGAACCTGGATCTTTTCCTTCAAAGCTATCTCTTGATGGCTACTACCAAGTCTAGCATCTTAAAGGTGTGTCTTAACTGACTTATATACATGGTACCATGCCAGCTTTATAGTTCTGTGCACCATCGTGCTGAATAGGAAGTCTAAAACAACTGAGAAAATGAAGACGTGGTCTACAATCTGTAGGAAAGAAGACTCAGCAAACATACAATGTGATCCAGCTTAACATTTGCACAGGACACCACCCTCCCCCACGACCATGGCAGCAAGCTTATTTAGTTTGGAATCTCACATGGTTTATGACCTTAGCTTTCACATCTCAAAACGAAGATACTTGCCTATTAGGGTTACTGTGAGGCTTTAATAAGATGGGAGAACACTAACTTATCACAACATTAAGCATATGATAGGAACTGAACGGTCATTAAAAACACTTAGACAGCCACTTAAAAACTCCGCAGGTGCCAATATGTGTTTCTCTGTCCTAGGAGAAGTAGTCAAAGGCCGAGGCAGACACAAACCAGCTGTGAGTCTGAGTTTGAAACCATATTGTCCTTTAAGGCTTTTCACCTGTTGGAGATAAAATCCTTCCTGAACTTCAGACGTCGGTATGATGGGGAAGAACAATTCCAGGTGAAAGGCTCTTGTTAGTCCATGAGTGAAGCTGCCCGCAAGGCTCAATGGGTAAAGTCCCTTACCAGTTCGCGGATTGTGGACCAACACATACTGACAGTGATAGTCTGGGCATTTGCCAAAGGCCACCAAACGTCAGACATTGCGCTGAGCTCTCAGGCCTTACTGCTGTATGCATCTCCTTGTTCCAGTGTGTCCCTGTCATTTCTACATCACAGAGATGCTTAGTGACTTGCCCAAGCTAACACATCCAGAACAGAGAAAGAAGTGTGTGCTATTGACATCATGTGTAGAACCCTATACATACCCACCCAGCCGCCATCTCACTTAGCACAGCCAAGAAGAATGCTATTCTTGAGATATCCCAGAGCTCCTGCCAAGCCCACACCCCCCAAGCTCCCTATTTCACTGTTGTCCTAGGGTTCACACACACACATATAGGGAGGCTGAAATGGCCTGGAGGTCTCAGGTCATACTTCATTCCTGTTTCTCAGATGTAGCAGGTTCAGAAACACTACTACAGATCGGAGTGCCACTGTATGAGATGGTACGCGTGATCACAAACCTCCATCCAGGACTCCCTACTAACCTACATTCAGCTTTTCATTGGTGAAGGTGGACGGGCATGAGATCCATGCAGAAATGGTGGTTGTCATCCTTCCATGAAGCGCTTGTGAGCGGCAACCTCTGTGAACAAACAGGCAGCAGCAGAAACACCCCAACAATGACCACCCCATTTTCCAAGCCCTCTCCTTGAAATCAAGTCACCTTCGCAGACCTTTCTCCATTTCAGGAATGTGCCCAGTTTAAGGGTCTAGAATATAACTGAAATAGGGGACACATTTTCTCAGTCTTTCCAAAGAAGGTGAAACACTGGCTTTAGAAATAAAAGGTTCAAAGTTCTGGATCAGGAGTAGCGTTTTGTTTTGTTCTTGAACCTAAGGAAGCAAAAGGGTCTGTGATTTTTTTTAAATTTGTTTGTTTTGCCGCAAGTGAAAGAAAGAGGCATGACATTCATTTGGGCTTAAGGGGATATACTGTTCCAGTAGGAGAGACTTTGCTAGGTAAGCACACTAGGAAATCAATTCTGTTCAACTACATGATACATGGGAAGCCCACCAGCATCTTTGGGTTGGGGTGAACTTAAAAGCTAGACAGTAGGCAGGTCTCAGCTTTCTGCAGTGTTCCCAGCTGAAAAGTGACTCCTTTACCTTGGCCAGCAACTGTGCTGCTGTTTAAAACCTGCCTGCTCATTTCTTAAAGGGGATGTCTGGAACCAAGGTAAGTGCCCAAGTTGAAGCCTCAAAGAATTATTTTTGCCCCTATTTATCCAGATTCAAAGGCTTAGATATGATGCCAAATTTTCAAAGTAGCTGTTAGAATATCCTAAGGGAACTGCTAATCTTCTAGGTCTGCTTCTGCCCACGGAGCATGTAGCTTGCAATAACCTCTTAACATTTTGGACTCTGAAACTTGACTGGACTTTTTTAACCAGGGTCCACAAATCTGTTGATTTGTCTCTCCTTTGCAGATATTCCTCAAGTCCCTTGAGGTTCCCCTCACTGCTGCCTCATGTGACAGGCTGGTTTAATTATAAATATCCTTTCTAAGAAATCGACGTTTCAGATTTCACCTCTTAATTAATTATCCATTACATTAAACTCTAGAGGTGCAGCCAGCTTAGGTCAACCCAGCTCATGTACAGTTCTTAAGATCTTGTTTGGGTGGTAAAGGTCAGGGTTCTCACCCCTTGTGAACCACTGTCCTCTGATCCAATTAGCAGTCTCACCAGATAAACTAACTACCCTAGCAATACTGAACAACACTCTATCAATATTTAAGCACTTCATTTTTTAAAAAATGCCTTTTAAAACACAGTGAGTTCTAGCTAATGTTGGGCTTATAAAAATGAAATGACCTTGTTTGTTTTAGATGCTTGTTCAGCCATTTCATCCCCAAGGGATCAGTGCCCTTTCTACAGTGCCCGCCTCACAGTGGAGTTATCAAAACATCTTGTCTGGGCTTTAAGCCACGCATCTTCTTTCACTTTTAGGCATCTGGAGACTTCAGAGTAAGGATGTGATGGCCGACTGATGGAAAACTCACAAAACTCCCCCCCTTGACACGGTACCACTTCTCCACCTCTGGCTCCTTATCTATTATCCACATGAAGTTCCACAAGTGCCTGATAGGGAGAACATCACTATATGTGCGATGCCATAGACTGACAACGTAGTGTTGACTATTTTACAATTATATTCTCCATAAAGCCACATTAGAATAGTTTTTATCCAACTCTAGGTTATATCAGAACTACATGAAGAGTTTGTGAAGACTCAGTTTCCTGAACCCCATTACTGGGGTTTTTGATTAAGTAGGTTTGGGGTGGGGCCCAAGAATATTCATTTCTGCTAAGTTCCTGGCAGTCACTATTGCTGTTCCTGGGGCTGAGAACCACAACTTAGATTGTTCAACAACAACGCTGTCTAGCATCCTTCCTACCCATCTTCACAGTAAGACAAGGCAGGCTTTTGTGAGAACAAACCCTTCCCTATGCCCTAGAAGGCACTTGTCTTCGACTGACCTACAAATTATGACAGAACATGAACAACAAAATATGAGAATGTATGGAAATCTCAGCATATATTGCTAGACCAATGTGAAAAGGAGGGGAAAAAGGAATCTTCTGTGAACAAAAGGAATTCTGGGAAGATAGTGGTTTTTTTGTAGGAAATATGTTGGCTGGGTTTAGTGGTCAAAACATGAGACATGTACTATTATAAGTTGGGAAGCTGAGGCAGGAGAATTGCAATCTTGAGTCCAGCAAAGAAGGAAGGACAGAAGGAAGGAAGGAAGGAAAGAAAGAAGGAAGGACATAAGTAAAGAAGGAAGGAAGGAAGGACAGGAGGAAAGAAAGAAAGAAAAAAAGAAAGAAAGAAAGAAGTAAGGACAGAAGGAAGGAAGGAAAGAAAGAAGAAAGGAAGGAAGGAAAGAAAGGACGGAAGGAAGGAAGGGTGGGTGATAAATTTGGGGGAACAAGTATCAAATGGTACCTATTTCTTTAGTTAGGACTTGGTTATAAAAGATACTAGCCTAGTTACGGGCTAGGTGAACAATACTCAGAACTATAGCTGAAATATCTAGAACATTTGGTGCTACACAGGCTGTTCCCAGTCCATCTTCGAGGAATAATCAAAACCATGGTTAAGCTGTGTGGTTTAATTTTTTTTAGCACTTGAAAAAAAAATGTACAGTAGTTTGAAGTCAGTCTTTGCAAACCTCCACAGAGGTCAAAGATTCCATTCATACGTACAAAATTAGTTTACAAATTTTTTTTGGCAATTTCATCTTTGTAACCCGTTTTATCCTATTGCCATTGTCCCAACCATTGAAAAAGTTTACAATAATTTACATAGAAATATCTTCAAAGTGCTTAAGAATAGTGATTGTTCTCTGGGATATGTACAGGTGGCCTATACAATGTATGTACAGGTGGGCGTCACTACCACACACGGTTTGTTGCTGGAATATGGCTTTCTCGGGAAAGTGCATATGTGGCCAGAGATGGCAATACTGTCTAGAGATTCAAGGGTTACACATACTCGGTAACCACATCCAAAGCTGAAGTAGAATGTGGCCAGGAATATTTACAAAAGTAATATAAAAATGACCAAGTAAACAAACTTGATCCCCAGAAAGATATCTTGATGTCCTTCCGGATGGGAGGAAGAAAGGAGACTTCAGCGCTGGCTCGGTTACTGTTCCGGGGTGGGGTGTTATTTTAGACCTCAGCGGTCAAGCCAGATCATCATCTGTGCTTACAACTGATATCTGTGGAGAAGAAAAAGATTCAGGTGAGCTCGGCTTGGTGTTTACTCACTGTGAGCAGCTCTATGGAGTGGGACTTTGAGTTGAACATTCATGGACCCAAAGAAATGAAGGCCAGACGCATGAATTGGATTTGTGTTCCCAACCTGAAAATCTTAGAACCCCAAAGGGTTCCTAAATCTGAAATTTTCTGAGTACTACAATCATATTCTAGAAAACTCCACACCTCACCTTAATGTTATTGGTTGTGGTCAAAATGAGCACACATTAAAATATTATGTAAAGTAACTTAGAATATGTGTATAAGAATACATGAAGTGAATGGATTTTGTGTTCAGACTTTTTGCGTATGTAAAATCTCCAAATTCCATGCTCCCTAAAAATAAATCCCCACCAAGTATTTCATATAAAGGCTACATAACCTGTACCTGCTTGCTAGGAGAAGCGAACAAACAAACGGTGGTTGACTCTGTTTAAGAAGTGCAAACCTTGGAAACAAATGTGAAAAGATGCATACTGTGACCCGAACACTGTTCCAAGTCACCGTGGAACTCACAAGGGCAGTGTTCCCGTTCAGCATGCTTCATTCAGCATGGTCCTGAAGTGGAGGCAGCTATGTACTTGGGTTCCGAGGGGGAGGAACACGTGATTGCAACTGCGGCTCCTGCGAAAAGCTGGCTCTCCGGGGTGGGATGGAGCAACTCTCTAAGGCATGCATTTTTAGTACTTTCAGCTAATTGAATCTTACTCAAGCTATTGACTTTCGGTCAACTCCCTATACACAATCCCACATGTCCACACTGATTTATCTTCAGCTATCCCCTAGGCAAGAAACTGAAGTTTAAAAACAAGCCAGTTGGTTCATACTGCTCTTCCCATGTCATTTTTGTCATCTAAAATAATGGCAAATAGGACTCACCTGCCTCCCTCTGTGGGCGAGATGCTTATCAACTGACTGTGTTAGTGGGCCAGACATCCAGCATCTAACACGTAGCCAGTGGATAAAGGATCATCCGGGGATGCCATGATCCTTCTCAGCCCGGGTACCCATAACGAAAGGTTCTGGTCTCCTTTGAAGAGACTGATGTCAAGCCACAGTGATTACAGACAAAGCCGACTTACTGCTGGGTACGTGTGTCCGACAGAAGCACTGTGTCTACCAATATCTATTGAGAGGTCCTCCTCAGTGGTCTTTAGGTACACAGGATTGTCAAAGTTCATGCTTTTCATGTTTTTATGTTGCCAATTCCGCCACATCAAGTAGCCCCCGACGGCTGCCATCACCAAGAGCACTGGGAAAAAAAAAAAAAAGATCAGAAGTGAAATCTAATAGTCATGGATCTATGGGAACTGACATTAATAAAAGTTCCATTTTAGGGAGCTTGGATAACTGGAAGTTGGAATACAGATGAGACAAAATTTTGAAATATGTTCAGCCTAGTGGTTCTGTGAATATTTGCCCTGGAACTTTATCCACCCAAGGAAATGCTGAGTCCTGAATCCCAAACCTAGGCCCAAACAAGGAAAATTATAGAACACTTTGAAGTGTTAGTCAAGTGGTCCCGGTGTATTAGGGAAATCAGTAAGCTAAGTCAAACCAAATGTCTTACAATTTACAGGCCTGAAGGTGGCTTTAGAGGTCTTTTCCCCTGAGTTGAGAACTTTTAATTACTGTACATTTATCCTTTATGGTTGGATAGTGGTGGTGCACACCTGTAATCCCAGCACTCAGAGGCATAGGCAAGTAAATCTCTATGAATTCGAGGCCAGCCTGGTCTATAGAGCTAGTTCCAGGGCTACACAAAGAAACTTTGTCTTGAAAACACACACACACACACACACACACACACACACACACACACAGCCATCAACAACAACCCCTCCAATTTACCCTTTTAGAATTCTACATCTCTTTCAAAAAAAAACATCTGGCTCTTTGTTCACCTGCTTCTGAATCATTCTATACAACAAATGGGGCTAGAACAAAGTGACTTGCTGTGGGCAGCGATAAGCAAGGTGGACAAGCTCAGCACGGGAAGCAGTAAGACCACTTAGACAACTGGTGACTATTCCCCGGAGTCCATTGCATGTGAAAGATACTGGCAAAGGATGGGTACCAGACAGATGAGGGAGTGAATGCGATTCAGTGTCCCATGTGTTATGACAGCATAAGAGGCCACAGGGAGGTGGCTGTAGATGAACTAGAACTGTCTATCGGGTCTATAGAAGAAGCAAATTTACTTACAGAGAGGGAGGATGGCCCAGGCAGCTGAAGTTCCTTTTGGAGGAACACTGACCTCTGATACTGCTGTGGTCACGTTGATTCCTATAAGGACATACAAGGAATCAGTCTACCAGGACTTGAATTAAGACTTAGAAATCTACCCTTAGGTAGAGATCCTTATACCTTTGTAGCTAATAGTGAGCTCTAGTGTCCACTATAATTCCAAACCAGAAGAACTTGGGATTAGAATTATTTGAGTTACATGGCCATTTCACCAACAGGTTTAATTAAGTCAGAGAAATCCAGGATGCACAGGTTCTGAAATTTTGGGACTTTAGGCACAAGTAGCCAGTTGGGCCAGAACCAGTAGTTAAATGCTGCATTAATTATTTAAGCGGCAGTTAGTTGGGATTAACAGTTTGCAGTACTGGATCCAATACCTCCAGGAACCAGTCCACTAGTACGCAGAATGTCTGTTGTGTTGATATCTTTTGTCTCACTGTAAGTCACAGGAGTTGAAGGACCTGGATTATAAAAACCAAGAACCTGGTTAAGGCTAAGGTTCCTGCGTGGCTGGCCGCACAGTCCAGACACATCGCGATGAAAGGTTATTTTAACTCCAGGTGAAAGAGACAAGCCACTGCAGAACTCAACTGTGAAGTGGATGTGTCTGAATTGAGAGAAATAGCCAGTTTCAAGCAGAAGCCAGAAACCTATGAAACTCTGGGCAGGGCAAGCAGCATGTGGAAGTTGACAACTCATAAAGATTCACAACCGTACGAATTGCCTCTCAGCAAACTCCACGCTCCTGAATGGCCACAGATATTCTCAAAAATGCTCCGGTGTGCTATGCATCTCCTGTGGGTTTGCCCCTATTTTATCAGCAAACTGAGTAGGTGCCCAGTGTGGTGCAGAATGATGCTAAGAAATCACTATGCGAGTGCCTTGCTTGCAATCAGCTCACTGATTAACCAAAAGCTGAGAATATTAAAATTCAAGCTCAGACGATCCAAGAGCTTAAACTTATGTCATCTCCTGAGGTCAGTAAGTATTCTGCAACCGCAGCCTCCTTCCTCAAATGTCTTCTTCATGGCATTCATTCTGCCCTCTGTGGAGGACTTTGCCTGAAAACGGACTAGCTCAGGTTACAGAGCAATGGGTACAAACTAGTCAGTGTGTGGCACATTGACACTAGTCACTGACAGACTCATCTGATGTTGAAACGAGGCACATGTCAGCTCAAAGGACTGATAGTGAACGCCTGCCACACAACAATAACGCCTAATATTCTGTCATCTATTTCAAAAGTTAGCTACACCCGAATTTCTCAAATCTGGACAAGTTGTCGTAGCTGGTGGCTCATAGGGCTGGTTTCATGTCTTGTTTGTGGCTGAAATGCAGAGAGCCTTACTCTGGCACTCTCGTCCGTTTTCCCCGAGACTGTACCCATTGGGACAGGAACAGGTGTATTTCGGAGAGTGGTCACTGATCTGTGGTGCTGGCAGGCAGAGGTATTCGCAGCCTCCATTCTCCATATCTTCTTCACACCAGTTCTTACCTGGTCAGAGAAAAGAAAGGTTCTTGAAAATAGGCATTGCAGTGTTAAGCATCTACACTCCCCATGGAGCTAAGTTTGCCTAGTCTGTCAGTCCCTCAGATGAGAGTAACGTCCGTGAAGAATGTGTGTCACTGATGTTGAATGGGTGTCATCATTGTACTGGAAGCACAATCTGAAGATTCCAGATTCAGAGGTTTCTAGGAAGTGGAGTAAGACTTAGATCTTCCATAGGTCGGTGTGAAGGGAGGTGAGGAATCAGGCCTGGCTCACACTGTTTGTTCAAAGCTCAGACTGAAGGGTCAGAAGGAGGGAGGCAAGTCACATTTTCCTGGCTTTATACTGACGAACTCCTACAAAGTGAAAGGGAACTCAGCCACAGGGAGGTGTGAGGGTCTCATTAGACAGATGAGCCAGTGTCCTGGGCAAGAGAAAAGATGACTAGATGTGTCTGATGATTTGTTGAATCCTGTATAAGATGTGTCATGGAGGAGAATAGGTATGACAGGTTATGTCTCTCTATAAAATGTTAACACTGAATTCCTAACTACTAATTCTTAGAATGTGCTCTTATTTGCAGATATGGTATTGACAGAGGCAATCAAGTTAGGTGAGGTCGTTAGGGTAGGTCTTAACCCCAAGTGTCAATTGTCCTCAGAAGATGAAATATGGGCACAAGCAAGTATCAAAAAAAAAGTGTGATTAGACACAGGGAAATGACCATCTATAAGCCAAGAAGAGAGGTCTGGCAGAGAGCCTTCCCTCAAGTCTTCAAAAGGAACCAACTTACCAACACTTTGATTTTGGACTTTTAGTTTCCAGAATTGTAATAGGTAGTAAGTTCCTATTGTTTAAGGCACTTGATTTGTGGTGTTTTGCTACCTAGAAAACTATCCCTGAGATGTAGCTGGGCTTGAAAGCCACTGAAGAAGCTGCTACCTTAGGCTTAGCAAGGGGGACCCAGAAGAAATCAAGATGAATGCTGTTGACACTGAGAACTGAAAGGAGCTAAGAGCTGACTCTGATGCCATTTCTCTAAGATGGCTGGAATGAGATATCAGACATCAAGTACAGAGTTTGCCCAGGATTCACGATGACAAAGGCTCCATTTGAAAGGAAGTTGAGTAGCTAAGGAGCCAGTAGGTAGTAGGCTCTAGACCATACTACTCCTTTAGTGTGGTCATTAAGGAGTGGGTTTCTTCATGTTACCTGCTGGCTGAACGAGTTCATGGTAGACAATGATGTCTTGGGCATCATTGAGGTTGTTGACTAGGGTAGCCAGCTCTGACCCAGTGAATTTATTGGCGCCGTATATTGCTTCATTTTCTCCATCTATCCAGTAGACGCGGTCCTAAAACAGAACCCCCAACAATTAGCATGTACATCCAATATTGACACAAATCAAGTTCTCATATGTTTTACTCATCACTTAATGGGATGAGGTTATTGAATGATTCCCCAGGACATTGAGTACGAAGGGTAAGCGAAGCAAGTTCAGGTTTCTTAAAGTTCTTTGAGGGCTTAGTATCTAATGTGTACCAGTCTTTAGGTAGAAAATGTTCAGTTGTCTACTGTTCCTTCCTCTTCTCATACACCTGTTCTAGAAGTGTTCGCTTACATGTTAGGCACATGTCTTACCTCAAATATGGTGAGCGCAAGAGGATGAGCTAGGAACTCCAGAGACTTGAGCACTATCCTACGATCTTGGCCATCCAAGTCCACACTAGACAGCATGTGCAACTTGGAATCAAGCCAGTAGAGGCGACTTTTGACAAGGTCTAGCAAGAAAATAAACGACATAATAGGAGCTGTGGTAGCATGTGCCTTTAAACCCAGCATTTGAGAGGCAGAGGCAGGCAGATCTCTGTGAGTGCGGGGTCAGCCTGGTCTACAAGTGCTAGCTCCAGGATAGGCTCCAAAGCTACAGAGAAACCATGCCTCAAACAAACAAACAAACAAAATCCAAAGAATCTATTCTGTTTTGTGGTTTCTTCTCTATCAGAAGTTCTTAATGGGGTTACCATAAAACCATTGCTGGTTTATGGCTTCTATTGTGAAGCCAGCAATAGAACCTGTCACTGTATTCCCTCTACAGGGACCAATGGGATTTCTAAGACTCTCAGAGTCATTGACACAAGATATGTTACATTATAGAAAGTGTTTTTTTTAAAAGGCTCTGTATTTGCACTTCTTTCCAGATAACTCAGAAGGAAAAGGTTACAAGTTACCACCCAGAAAAGGCTAAGGCACCCATGCTTGTTGTGTTACATATGAAAAACCCCAAAGATCCAAGATTCACTGAGTTGCCATTGCATATTAGATGACAAACCAGCCATCCTGGCACCCGTAATTTGTTAATTCCACCATGTTTTCTCAGCCCCTCTCTCTGGCTATGGATAGAACTAGAAGTGTGGACACCTGTTTAAACTCAATAAAGGGAGTTAGCTAGTGAGGGAGGAGGAAGGTCACACATACCGAGTGTAATTCCATTAGGCCATTGGATGTCCTCGGTCACAAGCGGACGCCTATCAAAGCCATTCATCCCTGCTTTTTCTATTTTAGCTGGTTCACCCCAGTCAGACCAGTAAACAAAGCTGGGAAGAGTCAAATCAGAAACGTGCCTTAGTGGCTGAGAAGAAAGAAAACTGTGGCTTTTAAATCCAAAACTTAAGGAGGGCACAGCAAACTCTTGAACTTGAGGCTCTCAAGATAAATGCTGGTACTTGAGGCTCTAATTCTGTTCTGAGTATATGGAACTGAACAGTGAGGATGCACAAGGATTGGAGCTATAGCTCAGTGGAAGAATACTTGCCTTTTCCTGTGTGAGGCTTGGGTCTACTCCTCAGGACTCCAGGAGACAATAATACCATCTCCAAATTATAACTGTGTTAGTCTGTGTTGAGCTGATGTATAAGTCTCAGCCCAAAGTCCCAAGGTTGGATATTTCCTTTCTAAAGCCACATTTATTTGGATCCATGAAGGAGGAATTTTCTGTAAGCTCTAAAGGAGGAGCTTGGTGATGATGCTCTAATGACATTTCACAGGGATCAGCTGTGATGACTACAGTCGACTTTTTCTAAGCTGCCTGCCTTATGGAAACGTTTTGACAAAAGTCTGGTCCTTTCAGTTGAACTTCCACACAATTTGTAGTTTTAGATGGGAACTTGAAGGAACGGGGTTATGCCAACGTCAGTATTTTCCTTGAGCCTGAGATTTGATTACCCAGACCTAACCAACCCAGCAACCTCTTCTCTCTCTCTCTCTACTCTCTCTCTCTCTCTCTCTCTCTCTCTCTCTCTCTCTCTCTCACACACACACACACACACACACACACAATCATTTGTGCAGAAGCTGGGTGGGCAAAGGATTTAGACATCACTTTTTTTCTGTATGTCATACATGAATCTAAAGCATCACTAATGCTATCATGCAGCTGGACAATCAGGAGTGAGACTGGGAGGCAGGCACATCATGCACATGGGCTGCCCCAGGACTGCTCCGTATTTGGTCACTCACAACATTTTTCTTTTTATTAGTATACATTATGTATTGTGATTGCATTCAATAAGGTATTTTCATTCAAGTTTATCATGCATACAGTGGAGTTTTATTTAGTCATAAAGAAGAAGGAAATTATGTCATTTTCAGGAAAATGGAGGCAACCGGAGGTGATCATATTAGGTACAGTAAGACTCCCACAACAAATATCACATTTTTTTTCCTACTTGTAGATCCTAGACTTTATAAAGGTAATAAATTGGTTTGAGTGTGTGTGTGTGTGTGTGTGTGTGTGTGAGAGAGAGAGAGAGAGAGAGAGAGAGAGAGAGAATGGAGACATGAGATAGGAGAAGAAAGGCAATTAGCTGGCAGACTAAAGGGAAAAGTGGGAGGGGCTGAACAACGAATACTGGCATTGATGTCTTGAACCAGAAAATTCTGTTCTTAGGCACTCTCAGGATGCATGAGAAAAGCTCCCAGACTATGTGGCTAGCACTCAAAAGGTTAAGCGAAGGAAAACATAGAATACGCACCCAGACAACGGGTCCACAGCTATGGAGGCAGGCTCTCGCAAGTCACTGTTAAACAGGAACTTCCTCTTGGCTCCGTCTAGGGTAGCTACGGAAATAGTCTTAGAAGCCGCATCAGTCCAGTAGATGGTCTTGTACACCCAATCAACAGCAATGGCTGCAGGATTATAGACATTGTCGATCATTTTAAAATGTCTACCAACCTTGTCATCAATTGAGGCACTGAAACAGAATAGGTCACAAGAAATTTAAAAGTTGTCACCATTGGACCCTGAAGAATGGACTTTCTGCTTATAAAATGGTCTAGGACTTTACTCGGGAAGACTCTAGGAACCCCATAGCTCACCGCTGGAGTTATTCAGCCATGTTGCTTGGGGATGGAAAATTGTAGCCTATCTAATTGTAACTATGTATTCTAGGTGCAAGCCCAGCAAAACTGGAGGAAAACCATTTGATTCAGCAGCCATCACCCCAGCTCGACAGTTTCCTAGGAGCAAAAGCTACTACCATCATTTCTATTTGTAGCAAGAGAAGACAGTTCACAACTATAGGTGGGGAAAATATGAGGAATTCAGATCCTTTTCCTTCACGGCCAATGACTCATCCCTAAATAACAGTTTATGGTAACTTAATAACCGTGTGGGGTTTATAATCCCAACTAACTAGATGGTAGAGGGGAGCTTGAGACAAGAGAAGCCCCACCCGCCACCCCAATCCTTTCCACAGGCCCAATGACAGTGACTTATGTGTCCAGATGTCAGGAATGCAAGTGAAAGGTACCTGAAGATGGCCTTCTGGCTTAGATCAGCCCAGAATAGCTTCTGAGCTGCAATGTCAGCATCGAGAGCCACCGTGTTTCTTAGTTGTTCCACAAGTTGGATGTATTCCTTCCTCTCTAGGCCAATCTTCCTGATGTCTCTTCGATTAGTGAAGATCAGACTTGGCTCTTTGCCTATAAGACATAAGCCAGGCTGATTTAGTTTTGCTCTAAAGCAAGATCTCCTAAGTCACCTCCTCTCCACCGAGGACCCCGCCGAAAGATCCTGCTGAGCATCTCGGTAGTACTCAGCCTGGAGGTCAAGTCCCCTGGAGCTGTAAGTACTTCCGCCCTATTTAGGAAGGCAGTCCTGGGGTTACAGCATCCAGCAGTAGGGTGGCTGATAAGCAAGTCATTTGCCTACAATGTGCAGTTTCAGAAGCAGAAAGGAAGCAAATATGGCAACTAGTCCTTGTATCCTGTGCAAAAGGAAAGACCAAGGCGCATGCACGGGAAGGTGAGCCTACTGCACACGGAGTTTGGTAGCACTGATCTGGGGTATGACTTTAGGTGTAGGTCGACTGTCGCAGTCACCGGACGTCCCTTGTGGAATCACTAACTCATAACCGTCCCAGAGCAATACCAGCCTGCGTCCACTTACCTACTGCCTTGCACACGCCAGTGGCAAGATCCATTTGATAGCCACGACTACATTCACACTTGTAGCCGCCTTTTAAGTTGATACAAATTTGGCTGCAGATCCCTGGATTTTGGCATTCGTCGATATCTAGGAGGGAAATCAGAATTAGCCTTGCTGTTCCGGTGCCTCACCCGGTGCACGTTGCCCTTTCCCATGACCTCCGGGGGCCAGACTCTTGGCTTCAACTCACCTCCACAGGTCTTCCTATCTATCAGTTCAAACCCAGCGGCGCAATCACATTCATAACCTATGACCAGGTCTTTGCAGATATGAGAGCAGCCACCATTATTGACCAAGCATTCATTGACATCTGGAACAAAAGGGGAGCGAAAGTCACCTGGAAGCTAATTCTTTGTTTCTAATATGATTTTAGATTTATTCTTTGAGATTTTCACATACAGAGACGATGCATTTTGATCATATCTCTCATACCATATGCCATCCAACACTCTAAGATGCTGCACAAACATCTTCCCCCCAGTTTCAAGTGCTCGTTCTCTTTTCTGCTTCATAACCCAGAGTCTAAATTAGAATGACATCTTATTCTTAACTGATGTTTGTCTTATTGACTTGTAAATTCAGACCACTGCTGATGGCCTTGCTAAGATCTGAGTATTTGCTTCGTAAATAAACATTTCACGTCGGATGGTAAGCTACCAGTTAGTTATGCAGGATTTACCTGTTTTGCTATTATTTTTAGTCATCTTTCTAAACTCCAAATCAGTTCGTCATTGGCTAGAATCCCACCCCACGTCATAACACTTGATCGTTAAGCTTATATGAAATTTTCATTCATTCTGAGTTCAGCGGGGCATCAAGCAGGGTCTGGACAGCATTAGCTCTGACGGACTGAATGGAACGCCCCAGCTCTGGCCTCAAGCAAGCCCCTCACTTACTGCACTCCTTCAGGGGTTCATCGCTCCAGTCCCTGCAGTCCTGCTCCTGGTCACACACTTTGCTGATGTCTATGCATTCGCCACTTCTGCACTTGAACTTTCCAGGGCCCAGGCACTGATTGACTATAAGGCCAAACACAGGAGAGAAGTTCCATGGTTGGTCTGACCAGAGCATCAATGGTTCTACCTGAACGCGATGCAGAGAACCTCACCATTTTTGCAATTGACTTCGTCAGAGCCATCCACACAGTCTCGGATGCCATTGCACTGCCTGCTGCCATGGATGCAGCTACCATCTTCACATTCAAATTGGTCGGGTCTGCAGGTTCGAGAAGCTACGGAAGGAGGTAACGCAATGGAATGAAGCCAGCCAAATGGTCCCCCAGTCGGGACATGGGAAAGAACTGGAAAGTTACTTACGGCAGTTGACCTCGTCACTGCCATCCTTGCAGTCGGGATCTCCGTCACACCGCCATTTTTTGTGAATGCATTCGCCAGAGCCGCACTGGATCTCGCTGGCAGGACATTTCGTGTGCATCGCGGGCTGACGACCGCACTGTTCGAGAGACTCGTCTGACTGGTCGGAGCAATCCGCGTCATCATCACACACCCAGCTGAGGGGGATGCAGGAAGAGGTGCTGCACTGGAACTCGTGGGCCCCGCAGGTCGGCGGTGCACAGTCCAATTCGTCACTGCCGTCGTCACAGTCATCCTGCCCGTTGCACACAAAGTTCCTAGAGACGCAGCGGCCGCTGGAGCAAGTGAACTCATCAGCACTACAGGTTATGTTGCCTGTTAGAGGGAAGATGTCCCATTGAAAGTGCATCAGCGGTTTATTTTAATACAAGACTCTCATCACCACATCCAATATATATTGATCTTTGATGATGAATTTTAGCTCTCTAACTTAAAGGCTATAGTGCTGTTCTATTGAGAACGAGTTCCTGAGATACGACAAAACGGTTTCACGGTATAAAATAAGATGCAGCCGTACTACGGATAACAGCAGAAATAAAAAACCAAGAAAACAGTAGAGGCTAGAAACTAATTTAAGATGAGAACCACAACTGACTCTTAAAGGGACAGTGATCAATAACTTAAGCTGCTATCAAGGACTTCATTTTGGAAGGCAGAGACATACCTAGACCAACCTATTGTATGTCAGCCCAAATCGCATCACTAGCTGAGAATATGCATCAGCTACATATGGGCTGGGCAAGGTATAACAGGTATTCAGGCTCTATTAAAAAAGAAACAAACCAAAGATCATTCTACATGGTTTCTTTCTTTTGGATCCTTTAAATAAACGTTAGGAATAGCATCTTAATAATTTTCAGGTTTTTTTTTTTTTTAAGTCACTGCTAGGACCAGAATCACAGCCTAGCCGCTCTGCATGCTAGTGATGACAAGGTAGTCACAGCAGCTAGTTTAAGGTTTCGACTTCAATTCCTACCAGACATACCGAGGTCACAATTTGATGGTAATTGGTAAAAGGAGACCACGACTCTCTTGGGAAGCAAAGTGTATATTTGCAAGGGAAATGTTTGGCAGCTCCGGGGCTTGCCATGGCAATGTTTGAAGCTCGATTCTATGACTGAACACGAAACTCATTGGACTAGGTGCAGTGGTATTGCCCCCACAAAGAGACTTGTACAGGCCAGACTAGTGTTTCACCTTCAAGGACTCTGAGCCCCAGACTAGTGTTTCACCTGCCAAGACTCTGAGCCCCAGACTAGTGTTTCACCTGCCAGGACCCTGAGCCCAGACTAGCGTTCCACCTGCCAGGACCCTGAGCCCAGACTACTGTTTCACCTGCCAGGACCCTGAGCCCCAGACTAGTGTTTCACCTGCCAGGACCCTGGACTCCTTTGGCGAGTCACGAGTCACGATACTCAGGCTGACAAGCACTATAAAGGGGTGGTAGATGGCAAGACCATTCAAGACTGTTTTCAACCTACAGATTGTCCCCAGGGCCTCGCCTTTAACACGGAACACTTCATTCTAGACACTCCAAGAACATAAGCGTGAAAGAATAGGGAACAGTGTTAGCATGTAGAGACAGGAATCAGCATAGGACACAAAGATTGGGCAGACTTTAGGTGTCGGCTGGCAACTGTCAGGTCATGCTTCTCTGCTAAGGTAACCATAGACTCCAGTTGGTAGAAATGCTTACGTCACACTCACGTAACTTCTCCCAGGAAGCTAATCTAAGAAACCCTAGAAACGTGTCTGCTGGCCCCATCACTTCCTAGCTTTATTGAGCCAACGTAAGGGAGGCCCATGAGTTTACTGTCATAAAAGTAAAAGACCCATATATAGCCGCTGCCTTACTAAGCCATACTAAATGTCCTAGGCTGAAAATAAGCACCAAGACGACTTCTCTGCTTGCTTCGATCTGCCTATACCAGGCAGTGGCCAATTACCAGAAAAAGGCCTCGCACAGTTTTATGGTGGTTAGGAGGACCAACACTGAGCAGACAGCAAAGCCACTGAAAAGCGACTCAGTGGCACCGTGTCTTCGGGCTTATGTTAGCGTCCCTTGCCCGCCTTTCTTTAGGACAAGGGTCTTTGGGGTATGCCACGGCACACTGGTCTTCTTACCACAGCTTTCTTCATCTTCTCCATTGTCACAATCATTTTCACCATCACACCGCCAGGACACTGGGATACACTGAGTGGACCGGGCGCCACAGCTGATTTCATTTGTGCGGCATGTTCTCATATCTGTTGATGACATACAGTCTCAAAAGAGCCTCCAAACGGGTCAGTGCAAAGCTGCTGCTCCCGTGCTGCCTGGAATTGCAACACCTGGGACTCAGTGGTCAGGTACACGGGGCACACTGACGAGTGGAAGCCGGGCAGATCCTTCGCCAGCTCCGTCCTTAGAAGCTGTGCCAAGCAAGGCCACCTGGCAGCATCCCCGAGAACCTTGACCTTGCCACTCCTTCAAGGTTCTGCGGCATGCTCAGTTCTGGCTTTTGTTTTCCTTGGCACAGTTAAGTTGATTTGTTGACCTGCTCCTCGTCCATTACCTATGTTTGGATATCAGTGGGCACACCAGATATTGTCACCTAATCCTGACTCTATTAAAGGTCAAATGGGCTAATACCTATGAGAGCGTCCATGGGATAGTAGCCTTTCTTGGCCTCTAGTCACATCTTTATGTGTAAAGCAAAAACATGGCCTGAGTCTTGGTTTTACCATGTCATTAACCCCTGAAACACGGGACTGAATCCATGTAGATCAGTCTAGGACCCTTGGGTTTCTAACCCGCTAACAAAATTGTTCACTTCTTGTCTAGAAAATGAAAGTTTCACCTCGGTTATTTTCATAATCATATCCTTAACCTAAACTTGGTTCATGTCAATTTTATTTCTTCTGTGTCAGCAGACCTCTACTGCCATGAATCTTCAGGCCTTTCAGTGTCTTAGCATCCGGTTTACTTGATTTCAACACACCTTTCTCTGTGATTTTGGGACTTAAAGACACATATTTGTACCTTTATGAAGCTTTTCTTATTCAATAACAAACTGGATGGCCCCTGCATAAGGTTATACATTTGTTAAAGTCCCCAAATTACCCTATTACTAATCATCTTGCTGTTTTCATAATAGCATGTTTTCAAAATATGAAAATCCGTGCATTTCACAGCTTATACGTGGCCCTTAGAAAACCTTCACATTTTAACTTCCTGGATCAGGGAAGCATCTGCTCAGTTATTGTCAAACAGCTGAAATCTATGCACCTAGTCAAGGAGTTCTTAATTGAATCTGCTGGCTTCAGTCTTAAGTATTCAAAGGTGAAGCTACCCAAGAGAATGTCAGTCTTGTTAGACTAGGGAGAGCAGTCTTTAAAGGAGATGGAATAACTGTTAATAGCTCGAATGACCTTCAAGTCAGTTGGCCTCAAGTTCAAGGCAGGCAAAGAAAAATGAATGCCAAGCAATCGATAAAGCATCACTTAGAACGGAGACAGAACAGCACGAAAGAGGACTGGTCCAAAGCAAGTCAAGGCACACTCACGGCACTGTTCCGGGCTCTCATCAGAACCGTCTTCACAATCAGGGTCCCCGTCACACTGCCATCTGTTAGGAACACACTGGCCGTTTTTGCACACGAAGTCAGACTCAGCACACGTCTTCTTTACTACAGGAGTTTATTCTCAAAGTTAGAATCGAAGTCAATTACCCCAGACCTCAGCTTTCCTATTCGGGTAGAAACTATATTTTGGTATGTTTTCCTTTGGAAGGAATGCTGCACCAATTAACTGACATTTGTCTGTCAGCTTCTAGGGAGAGGATAGAAGACTCATCTTTTTCCTCATAGGCCTTAGAGGAGGGAGTTATTCATTGAAGAGACTTGGAGAACAATAAAGTCAAGGGAAGGCAAAGGCTGAATCCAAGTAGATCCTGTCTTATGACCCGGGGGCGTCTTAAAACGAAGTTGGTTTACAGTGTTAAAGCCAGTGAATTTCTTCCAACCCATTCACAAACTCTGTGGTGTTCTTCTCCAAGGCCATTTTCTGTCCCTAAAATGGAACACTCGAGAGTGCATTAAGGGAGAGAAACTTACTTCAGCTCAGAGTTCTGAATGCTGGGAATCCTAAGAGCACACCCCAGCACCTGCTTAGCTTTGGGTGAGGACCTTGAGACTTGCTACTTAATCCACTCTCTTAGTAATTCATCCAGCCCAGGGGAGAAAGGATTGATTCCCTCTCACAGACCTAATCACTTAGTAAATGTCCTGCCGCCTCTCAACATACTATTCAAAAATCACACTGCAGGGTGAGCTCCAGAGGAGACACACCAAAGAGAAGTTATTTTAATAACCAAACATTGCACCCTATGACTGGCCCTTGGGATAACTATTTCCTGTGGAGTAAATACGTGTGTCTTCATACATGTCGTACTCTGAACAGCGCTGTTCTGGGAGGGAGGACTTGAGGGGGGTGATTAAGTCACGAGGACGATGGATCTTCACAAGTGGGACTGGAGCCCTTACTAGAAACATTGGTGCTTGTTTGTGCTCTCTCTCTTCCTCTCCTTTATCACGGAGGCCACACTAAGAAAACAGTCATTGCCAGGTGGTGGTGCACATCTTTAATCCCAGCACTTGGGTGGCAAAGGAAGCCAGATCTCAGTGAGTTCGAGGTCAGCCTGGTCTACAAAGAAAGTTCCAAGACAGCCAGGACTGTTACACAGAGAAACCCTGTCTCAAAAAACCAAAGTAACAAAAGGGAAGGGAAGGAGAGGGAAGGGAAGGAGAGGGGACGGGTAGGAGAGGGGAAGGGTAGGAGAGGGGAAGGGAAGGGAGGAGAGGAGAGGAAAGGAGAGGGGAGAAGAGGGGAGAGGAGGGGAGGGGAGGAGAGGGGAAGGGAAGGGAGGAGAAGGGAGGGGAGGGGAGGGGAAGGGAAGGGAAGGGAAGAAGGGAAGAAGGGAAGAAGGGAAGGGAAGGGCCATCTGCAATTCAAAAAGAGGGCTTTCATCTGACAATGGATCTACTGCTTCTTAGTTTGGGGATTTCCTAATACCCAGAACCCCCAAATCAGGTTTTTATCATTTAAGTCCCTCTACCTACAGTATTTTTGTCACAGCAGCATAAACCAAGCCTGCTTCAGAAACACTCTTCACAACACATGCGCTTAGTGTAGGGGATATGCTGATGTTTCCAAACTGGACACTGCCACTCTAATGGGTCTACTGGGTCTACAGAGAAACCCATCCACTAGACAAACTTAAAGTCAATTATAACACTTAAAACAAGCGGTAGGACTTGGAATTCAAAGAGATTTCAGGCCTTCAGCCAACGCTTGGTTTAACACCAACCAACCCAAAGTCACTGAAGCTACCGGTACTAAGTCCCACAATTCACAGTGCCCATTCAAACAGCCTAAGGCAAAAATATTCTATTACTAATTCTTCCTAGGGCAGACTTAGAGTCACAATATAATGTGTCACCCATTAATTAGACCAGGACAATAAAGACAAACAAATGAGGTAGCTTGGCCACCATGCCTGTGAAGGAATCCCAGAATCTGGAACTCTTGCCAAAGCAGCCAGAGATGACACACCCACAGCCATGTTTGTCTTTTTAGACTAGATTCTCCCACACCTCTGTGCCTATACTTTCTGCTTAGACTTCTGTTCTAAAGCATCCCTCTAATCAATATTGTGTTTGTAAATCAGCCACAGCCTGCAGTGTGTTGTAAATTTAAAAGAGATCCCCTGGCATGAGAAGTTTAAGCTAGGTAGGGCAGCTTGGAGGCTAGGGCTTACGCTTAAGCCCCTTTCATTCAGCCTTTAAACTTGGGAGATAGTCAGTTTGCAACATTCAACATGGGCTGGTAAATTATGATGATCCCTAAGGGATTATTCATATCCTTGAACTACATAGCTAAGGAACCAAGAAAAGCCATGCCAGCTCATAAATTCACCCCTGTTTCTAAATCACCATCACACAGCAGTAACACGGCAAATGCTACACAAGGCTGGTATTCTCCTGGGTCCATATGGAAACAGAGGCCAGGCTAAGGGGCTTGTTGCTGTAATTCACCCTGCGATCACTTCTGTAAGTGGCAAATGAGAGAACAGGGGAATGGCCAGAAAGAAAGCAGGTGGTTTTGCCAAGTGGAAAATGTCATGACGTTAGGAAAGATCAGCTATGCAACCAACAGTTTGAGCAAAGATAAGTAGGGGCGTGTCTTCACAGAGATCGTCTTTCTCAGTTCTGAGTGTACACTATAAGGGCAAAGAAAGAATATCTGAGTCACACACTGACATGCAGATAGAAAGTGTTCCACGGGGGAGGAAAGCCATCAGATACTTACTTTGGGAACTCACAGAAACAAGCCACATGGAATCTACACTCAAATTGATTGTCAAGCTCCAAAGTGAGCCTGCCCCAAAGTTACAACTGAGTATGGGTTAAAGGTCAGATGGGGAAGTTTGAAGGAGGCTTTGGGAGTTTTAAGTAAATAGATAACTTTTCCATTTCAGGCACGCATTTAAGACTACTTTTTGGGTGTGTGTGCCCTTTCCACGTTTACCTCCATACCCGGGACTCAGCAACGGACCTGCCCATCGATGTGTGTAATTTATCCCACCTGAGGTGATCCTGATTAACTGTGCTGTTCATTTATCTCTTCCCCTCGCCCAAGCCCTTCTACCGTGGGGCTGGTAAAGAGAATCTATGCAGAAAGGGCTTAAGAAAATCCAGTCTCTGTTGAGTTAGATGACAAAACCTTCTATAATGGGAAGTATAAAAACTAGTGGGGGATAGTTTTTGCCCAGTGCATGATTTCTTGGAAGCCTTGCCCCTTAACAGCTGAAAAGAGGTCCTCCTAATGAGATACGTATTGAGAAAACTATATTCCCCAGGCAATCTAGAAATAGGGAAATGGGTGTTTTGTGGAGCGGACTGAAATCTTTACATTAAAAGCACACGAGGAAAATGAGAGCGCAGGAGAACTATTCTTCGTAAGTGTTTTTTCAGAATGGGCTTTCAGAGCCGCCACTGTCGCTTGGGTACTGCTGCCGAGGATGCTGTCTGCAGCATTTCAATGATGATAAACAAAGAAGCAGGTAGTGGCACAATGAACTTGGCAGTCCACGAAACCCCACGTGGCCTTTATTTTTTCTCTTCTTTCCAAGTTCTGGGATAGGCATGTGCCTGCACACCCAGTATCGGAGGTACCATCTTTCAAAAGGCAAATAAATGACCATGGTCAACACTAATCTTCCCACTCAACACTCCTCTGGGATTTTTATAATGGAGACCAGAGGGATGAAAAGGTAAAACCTCAGCAAGAATTCCAGGTCTGTGTGTGTGATCTTGACATGCGGTTCTCCGCTGTTCTTTGCGACATGAGGTTATGGCGCCTTTCACACAGGCATTTCTCACAGCGACCTTTTGATCATTTCTGATCAAGGCTGTGCTGTTAGAGTCACATTCGTTAGGGAAGAGCATGTCTTCTGTCCTGCCTAATGCTTTCCAGTAAGCAAGCATTGTGAGCAGAGAATTAAAAGACTCCTTATCTGATCTTTGATATGTGCCGGCTTCTCCTTTCTATGCCAGTTAGTTAACTAACTAAACTTTACAGGATTTTGTTGTGTTCATAGCTTGCTAGCATCTTGAATCAGAGCCATTTGTGAATTTAAAGATTTATTTATTTTGTTTATGTGTACATGTGTGTGTCTGCATAGTTGCATGCCGTGTGTGTGTGTGTGTGTGTGTGTGTGTGTGTGTGTAAGTGCAGGGGATTCTCATGGATGTCAGCTAAGGGCATCGGATCCCTAGAGCTGGGGTTACTGGCAGTTGTGAGCTGCTCAATATAGGTGGTAGGAGTTGAACTCAGGTCCTCTGGAAAAGCTGAACACAATCTTAACCACTAAGACATTTCTCCATATATCCCCTGCTCCAGTTTATAAACGTATAAAGTTATTTTTACACAATCTTCTTTCTGCTTCTACCTCGGGTCTTTCCTTTCTCAGCTTCCTATAGCACATGCTTGTCTGAGGTGAGATAGATTGGGTCTCATCACGTGAAGGAAATTCCACATTAAAGTTGATGACTGTTCAGCTGGAAAATCTGCCACAATACTCTGCCTCAGCCCCACTCCTCCCTCTCTGAATCCTGCTCCTCTCAGAGAGACAGCCAGAAGTCCAGGCTCCTCCTCCCAAGCTCAAGACAAGGCCTACAGGGAAGCCCCTAAACCAGCCACGTGATTTCTCTCCTGCTCCATTTCAGAGAATCACCCAGGAGTGCTTTGCTCAGGTTAAACGTGGTCCTTTACTTTTTAAGTTGGCTCAATTTGGCTTACTGCATTGGAGAAGAGACTTAATATCAGGGTACAGAAACCTTTCAATTACCTCATGTCAAACACTCAATTATACGCCTCCCGACCAGTATAGATTCACTGGACTCTATTCACAGTCATACCTTAAAGTGGATTTTGTTTACACAATTTCAATACAGTTGTAGAAACTAAGGAACATTGGCGCATTTCAATAAAACGCGGGAGCGGGAGCCAGAGCTTGGTAACAAGTGAAACGTGCTTACCGCAGTTCTTTTCATCGCTGCCATCAACACAGTCTTCATCGCCATCGCATTTCCACAGCAGAGTAATGCAGCGACCGTTTGTGCACTGGAATTGGGAATTATCACATTTGCCTTTTTTCCCTAGGATGAGGAAGGAACACTGAGCAATGCATGCAGAGAAGTTAAGTTAGAGATACAAGTTCCCCAAAGCCCGCGGACAGGGACAGCTGCAGACTCAGCATGCTGTAATAATCTAGGGGTCAGGCTTGGATGGGTTGGGGGGCAGTGAACTGTAGTGGGTATGTGCCATGCACATGACCTTGGGCTATCTGACACGGGAGGCGGAGCTTCTAGTTTGCTGAAGTAACTCCTTTAAAAGAAAGAGGGGGAGCCCAGCGGGCAGTCGGGGAGCTGGTGGTGGTAGTGCACGCCTTTAATCCCAGCATTCAGGAGGCAGAGGCGGGTGGATCTCTGCGAATTTGGGGTCAGCCCAGTCTACAAGCAAGAGCTAGTTCCAGGACAGGATCCAAAGCTATAGAGAAACCCCACCTTGGGGGGAAAAAAAAGAAAAAAGAAAGAAAGAAAAAGGAAAGAGAGAGAGGGGCAGGTGCTCGCTCTCTCATGTGGTAGTCAGAGATCCAGATTGCTGTTTCCATTCACCCAAGGACAGAACAAAAGACCACGGAGGCGGCTTTCTAACTTTGTTATTCGTGAGTGTTCCTAATAAATCTTTGATATTCTTTTGTTCGGGCTCTCGTGGATTTACATACTTCCGCCTACAGTGAACAACAGCAGCAGAGTCCTTCACTGGTCAACAAACTAAAACAGAGCACTAGATTTCCAGCCTTTCTCCCAGAGAGGCACAGCTGAGATGCCAGGCTCTAGTTAGTGGAAAGCAATCAGAAAAGGAATATAGATTATAGAGCTTCTAAGAAGTCCAATCACATGCCGGCCAGAGATGTTTTAGTCAGTATTAACAGGTATCTCATCTCCAGTGGTGACCATACAGCTGTAACAGAGCAAAATAACCCCAGCGTCTCGAGAACACACAGCTGAAGAGCCAGCCAAAGAAAGCTGCAGCAGAAGAAACGCCTCTGAGGAAACTGACGGTGGAAGGGTTAGGAGAAGATTTCAGACTTCAAGTAGCTCAGGGATGCACTGGAAGACATGGAAACCCAATACTAAGGTGTCCTCCCGGACCTAGAGGGCTATTCACAGAGAACTGTCTGACTTAAAAGCAGATATAGAGCAGCCAAGCCACCATGTGCATATTTCTGAAAAATGTGAACGAAGGAGGAAGAACCTGCCCCAGAGAAAGTTCCAGTCCTCTTCTTCACGAGAGAGCCCAGAAGGACTTAGTACCCATAGGATAAGGTACTGATGGGCCTGACACAGTATAGGCCTAAGAGAAGGTGTGTGTTATGTGTTAGTTCTTAGGAAAAGCTTTAAATACACACACACGCACACACACACATGCACACGCACACACACGCACACACACACACACACGCACACGCACACACACACGCACGCACGCGCACACACACACCGAGAGAGAGAGACAGACAGACAGACAGACAGAGAGAAGCTTATAGAATAAGCATATAAAGAAAATGTTTTTGTGTAGCTGTCCAGCATGTGTTTTAAGCTCTTATCCGCAGGGTTTATATTTTTAAACAGTGGGCCAGTAAGATAGCTCAGTGTGGAAAGTACTTGCTCCCAGGCCTGACTTTCTGGGTTCAAGCCCTGGCAACCCGTGGTGGAAGAAAACAAACATAAAATCTTTAAATGCTTAAAAAGAAAAATAAGGGTAATTCATCACTGAAGACAGAACTAGTTTCATAAACTTTTTCTAAGTTGAAGGTCCACTGAGAACACAGCATTTCTAAAGTGACAGCGGTGCACTCGGCCTTGGCTTCCACTTATCATGCGCTCACAGACTCACTCAGAGCAAGTTCCAACCCTGCAAGCCCATCCATCACCATTACCCTACACAGAGGCACCAGTTAACCTTTTATAGATAGACTTTTCTGTATCTTTGCCAAGCTTAGATATATTTGGATACACACATACTGGCCATTGTGTTATAGCTGCCTACATATAGTATTTAGTGCAAGTACCCTACTCTATACAGGTAGCCTAGAACCAACAGACTAGACGACATTGTCTAGGTAGGAAGTCTGCTAACCCACTGTGGTGGTTAAATGAAAGTGACCCCCATGGCTCATAAATTCTAATGTTTGATTCCAGTTAGTGGAACAGTGTGGAAAGGATTAGGAATTTTCAAAAGTCCACACCAGCCAGACGTGGTGGTGCACTCCTTTAATTCCAGCACTCAGGAGGCAGAGGCAGGTGGATCTTTGGATTCTCTGAGTTCGAGGCCAGCCTGGTCTATGAAGCGGGTTCCAGGATAGCCAGAGAAATCCTATCTCGATTTTTAAAAAAGAAAGAAAGACAAGAAAAGAAAAAGAGCGGCCCACACCAAACCCAGCATCAGTCTTGCCCACCCTCTCTCTACCTGATGCCTGCAGATGGATCAGGATGGGAGTTCTCAGCTATGGGTCCAGTGTCATCATGCCTGTCTGCCAGATGCCATGCTGCCCACCATGATGGTCATAGAATAGCCCCCTGAAACTGTAAGCAAGCCCCCATTAAGAACTGTCTTTTAGAAGTCGCTTTGGCCATGGTATCTCATCACAGCAATGGAGTCACTAAGACAACATCACCGCGTGTTTAAGTAAAGGAGCGATGAATTGCTCAACACTGTTGTTCTTAAGACTTCTCTCTAGCATCATGGCTACAGCTCTAAAAGAACAGGGAACTCGTTTTCCTTCCCTTTAATCCTTTTACTGCCAGGATCCAGAGGTGAGATAGCTCAGCAGGAAATGACACAGGCTGCTAACCTTGAGACACACGTTTTATTCCTGGAACCTATAGGGCAGGAAATAACTGATTCCTATAAGTTGTCCTCTGACCTCCTAGGCAAGCTATGGCACACGTGTGCACACACATACATGCAAAAATACATAAGTAAATAAATGGAATAAATTCCTTTTTATGTCTAAAAAATTGGGCATGGTGGCTGAAACAGAGGTCTTGATCTTGGATTCAACCCCAGATTAATGAACCTAGCTAGGCCAGAGACACAGGGGACCATCCCAAGCCCTCTGGACTCTTCTTCGCATAAACTGTGTGTTTGCACAGTTTGCAGACAATTCTAATCCTTCATAGCACTTCCTGGCCATATCCACAACTTTATTCAAGCGTGATACTGCTTTCACAGACAAAGAGCAGAGGACGTGTGAGGGTGGCAAGGAGAGGGAAGAAATGAAGGGTAGATAATGGTTCCGTGTCCTAAAAATGGAGGCTTCCAAATTGACAGTGGTGAAGCATGCCTTTAATCCCAGCACTTGGGAGGCAGAGGCAGGTAGGCGGATCTCTATGAGTTTGAGGCCAGCCTGGTCTACAGAGGGAGTTCCAGGATAGGCTCCAAAGCTACACAGAGAAACCCTGTCTTGGAAAACAAAAACCAAACCAAACCAAACCCAAACCTGAGGCTTCCTTTGGAAAATACGTGTTTACAAACCAGTTCCAAAGACGAGTCAAAAGTGTCAAGACAGCATGGTTAGGAGGCAATGGGGTGGCGTTTTTAACTCAGTGATGAGACAAAAGGAGAGCAAGTTAGAGCCACAGACCTGATTCTGCTTTCCTGAGCTCAGTTGCTTTGGTTCCTGATGGTCATGCTATTTACAGAGGCGTGAACTAGGACTTCATGGAGGTCCTCCACGGCCAGGGCATTTCCGGTCATTAGCATTTCCACCCTTCTGCCTGCACTGTTTGATGATAAGAGGTGCAGCTCCTGTCCCTTAAAGGCCCCCCTTAAGTACACCACACAGACTTTCAAAACCCAGCATGAAGCCTGGGGTGCATGCAGATTTGCTGGGGGGAGGGCGGTTGCCAGCAGAAAGCCTTCGGATTTCCTGCTACCCCTCCACATTTGCAGCTGGGGCATGCTGGCATAGGAACAGACAGGGCAGAGGCAAGCACAGACTGGAACTCTTGTGTGAAAGGCACAATGCCCTAGTTGGTCTCCATAGTGTCAACTATGCCCTGCTGTCGGGGAGAATTCTGCACTTTGTGGCTCATTCCCAAAGATGAAAATTTGGCTCAAGCCAAGATTACCACATGGTGTGGTTACCTTCAGGTACTGCTTTTAAAACTCTCTGAGCCTTTCTGCTCTTAAACATTTAGCAAGCTAGAACTTAGCTATAAAGCAGTATAACTTGATAGTATTTCCTACCAACACTTCATAATGTGTATTCATTCTACAAATATTCTATTGAATAAAAAATATTAGGGAGTTACAAAGCACACAAAAGTGAGCATTGGTTGTTTTTAATACCCACAAGCCAAGTGTGAGGTACCTGACTGCCTCCTCCCTTCTTTCCTCCCATTACCGCAATGTTTCCAGAATGTTCTCCATATTCTCCAAGCTGGAGATATATGTTCCAGGGGCCATTAGCTATGACTGTGCCCTTCTAGATTTGAGGACTATGGAAATGGCAGAAATCTACTTTGAGGACTTTATAGAAAAAGGCGTCTACAGTCAAGAGAATAAAGAAGGAAACACAGAAAAAATGGAAAGTATCCAAAAGAAAGTATCTACTGCAGTTAGGATGCAGTGAAGGCTAAAAGACTGACATCTTTGAGGGAGTTCATTCCGAAGGGTGAGTCAAACCATTGCGCTCTCTCTAGTGAGAACAATGAGCCCCCATCAGACTTAGAGAGAGATTTAGAAGGTAAAAGCAAAACAGAACTCTAGGACGAAGCCTGTGGGAGAGTTTCCTCAAAAATGAGGCTGGTGTGATGGATTCGGTGAACATTCAAGCTGTTGTGGGGCTAAAGCCCTACATATTAGCATGCTAAGGCTAATAGACAGTTCATGGTTGTTTTGGACTCTGGACTTAGTTGTAATTACCCAAACTCTCAACAGTAATAGATTGTGTTAAAAATCTGGAGGTTTGGCTCAGGACGTGGGCTCTAACAGATATAAGCATTTTCCTCTGCTCATTTCAATATCCTAAAGCAGAAAGGAGTTGAACTTCTACCTTTCCGTATCTCACATGTGCCCACATCACCCA